TGGATGGATGGATGGATGGATGGATGGATGGATGGATGGATGGATGGGTGGATGGATGGGTGGATGGATGGAAGACTAATCATAGATGGATCATAGATGGATAAAGATGATGTAGATGATAGATAGATGATATATAGATAGAAAAATAGATAAATGACACCATAGTTTTTAGGCAGACTAAGCCCCAAGGCCTCAAATTTATGTCCAAACATACAATGAGAATATTAGGAAGTACTCAGTGAGGTTGCATGTAGTTCTCTAGTTGTTAGCTGTATCACACAAAACTGTAGCTCAGAAATGGTTTAACTGAGGCAATTTCATGTGGTATGTCATAAGAGATTATATACACAAGTCAACCTTTCGGAACATGGCAATCTTTTTTTGGCCTTAGGTGCAAAACCTTTGCTGAACGCTCTAAGAAAATATTTCCTCTACATTATTTTGCTCCTGTAAATAAATTCATAGCATCCATTCATTTCCCTTAGAAAGGGAAGTTTCCATCTCCATGACCTATATGGAATTAAACACTGGAGGCAATTTGCTCTTTGTGGCTTTGCCCGCTATTTCTCTCGTTTACATATCTCCAAGCACGGTTTATCCTAAAAGACAAAGCTGGGGGGGGGGCATCTAATTCCCATTCAGAGCTGAGGTTCCTTTAGGAGTTTTTCTCTCTCGTTCTGCCTGGCACAGCAGTCGCTGTGTTTGGCGACATCTGCCTTGCAGCTCCACCTGACACTTGTCCCCATCCACGTGCTCTTCCCTGGTTCTTGGGAAGATCTGTGGCCTCTCGTCTCTGATGAGATCTCAGTCAGTGCGCAGCCCAGTCTGGCCGAGAACTTGCAACCACGCTTCCCTGTATCTCCAGTGTCAGGCGTGCATCACCGTGTCCAACCTCACACAAGTCACTTTTGAACATTGTTTTCCTAGAATTTCACACTGTCTACCCCTTTTCAAGATTCCCTCAGCCATAAAATAAAGGTAAACAACTTGCCAATTTACTAACATTTTCACCTATAACGAAACACATAGCCAAGTCCAAATATAACATATAAGATTGCTACTAAAACAACCTAATTTACTTTCTTAAAAATTTGGTATTTAATAGAAAATTAAAATTCAAAATATTTTGAGTAATACTTTGTTCAGGAAATTTTATGATGAAATTTGATACAGGAAACACCACAAACATTAATTTAATACATTCCTGTACATTTGGGATTAACCTAAGAAAATTTTTATAGCAATTGGAAGAACTTAATGGGTAGTAATTGCCACATAAATTGCTATCTGCTTTGAGTAAACTACAGGCCTTTTTTTTCCCCCACTACAGCTTACAATTCTAACAGATTGTTTTAAAGCGTCATTTGTTTCTACCTGACCAAAATCCTGTGCTGTTAAGTTCTTCATTGTGTGAAACTGTAAGATTTCCCTGTGCTAGACAATACATAAACAGCTGGTGATATTAAGCCTCCTCTGGCCTGCAGAAGGTTATCACTTGACGTTGAGGTGTCTGGCACATCGCTGTTTGGCACACTTTACAACTGAGTTTTCAGAAATACACACTTCCCCTATCTGCTGACATAAAATTTGACAAAGGAAAACTGGGCAATGAAGTGTATCTTGTCTTTTCATATTATTATGGACAGAATCTGATTCATAAACAGAACAGAAAGGGCATTGAGGCAGAAAGAGTCTCACAGAGGGACACCCTGTGACCCCACCTGCTTTTGGTCCTCTCATTATTATTAGATGTGGGCACCTTTTCCGGCTTGCTTACGAGCTTGGGAAGATAAAGCAGAACTCCAGAACAAAACTTTCTCTCTTCTAAATTTGAACTTTTAAATGAGTAGGTCTACTCTGGGAAGCATTTATCTAATTGCACATCTCTAAAACATAACTACCCTTCCAGGCCACAGTGAGAAACCCTGTCTCTAAAATACCAAATAATAATAATAATAATAATAATAATAATAATAATAATAATAATAATACAAGAACCAACCAGCCAAACAAACAAACATAACCTTAGAAAACCTAGGCAGATGAGTCCTTTCAAAGTACAGACATTTGTGTTTCATTTTGCCCTCTCTAACATGTTCCAGTGCAGGCCTCACTCCATAAACACACACATACATTCATTACACAGCCCCCACACAGAGCAAGGCTTATCTCCCTCCTCTAGCGCTTTTCCTTCCCATCCTTCTCTCCACACATCACATCCCGCTTAAGAACCAGTGATTGTCAAAGTGTCCCATGCTTTCCATCAGACAGTAAACCTGGGTGGCTTCTCAATGACCACCTTGGTCTTCTGAGTCAGCTTTCTTACTTTTCGGGTCTCTCGGAGATACTATTATATAATGAAATAAACTTACTGTTTTCTTTAACACTTTGAGAGCATAGGGCTTCTGGGTCCCCTTCTGTTTGCATCTGTACACAATGGATGTAGCACCCCTTGAGGGGGAAAAAGACAAAAAGAAAAGGTTATGCTGTAGACACGACTTCACGAAGACATCTTCAAAGGGAGTCTTACAGATACGCTCACGGCTAACCAGGGTTCCTACGTCCTACATGTCGGCCCAAGATGCCAAAAGTCTTTTCTTCTCACAATTTTCTCCGTGTGCAAATCTCCTCGTGGAAATTTCTCAGAAAAGTCTAGGCTCTTTACTAGCTTTTCTTCCTGTTGCAACTAGCTTACTCAGGGTCATAGCGTTTGATGGGCTGTTAAGAAAATCAAGTCCTTGGGAAAAATGGCATTTTTCAAGAACAGTCATACATTGAAATTCCAGGATTCCAAAAAGTATATGTTTGGAGTGAAATAAAGCAGAAAGCTTTAGGGACAGAATTTTGAGTTCAGCATTCCTATTAGTGACTGAATAGTCTGCCCTTTTTTCATATTGGTTAGGGAGCTAAGAAATTCCCCTGCGACCCTTCTGTAATCTTTTGAGAAGAGCGATAAGAAGGGATCCCATGGCTATTTCCATGTGCGTATGGTGCTGGAGGAGAGTTCTCCACAAAGTAGACCAGTGTGGTCTGAATGCTCCCATGCCACATAAAAAAACATGATAGCAAAAAAATATAGACACGAAGAGAACTCGGGGCCAAACTGGTTTATGCTTCAACTTTGAGGAAGAACTTTGAAAAATACCTTAAAGTGAGATGGGTTTGAATTAGGCCTTCTAGACGCTGAAGACCAAAGACTTCTGCTGACATATTAAGCTCACAGTCCTATAACTCTATATGATCACAGAGAACTACAACAAATATGTGCCAGATACTGAATACAACAAACTTTTGACAGTCAAAAGTCAAGGCTGCTGCACCATGGCTGTTATGAGTTAAGAAAAGTTTTACTACATGTTTAAAGCATGTTAAGAGGCCATACATACATAGGCGTTCTAGAGATAAGTGAAGGTAAAAATGAAGTTGGTCATACTATGTGTTAGTGTTCTGATAATATTTAAAGGTTATGCCTAGTTAGTTAAAGATACATATATAATCTTGGTCAATGACTAAAACAAGTATTTAAAATAAAAATCAATAACAAAGTTAAATGAAAAACTCAAAATGATATGCAAAGGACGAAAAAAAAAAAACAAGAGACTCAAGAAATAAAACATCTGTAATGTAGCAGGTTGAAATTCAATAGTAATAATTACAATAAATTTCAACTTTACCAATTAAATCCCTAAACATCGCTATATTGGATCATAACAACAGGAAAACTACTTACTATAAACAAGAATTCTTTGATGTATAAAGGCATATGTAGATTATAAAGTAAAATGACCAATAAAAGATGCATGTAGACCTTTAGCGAAAGGTATGGCTACACTAATATCAAACAAAATAAATTGCAGAAAATTGATAGGGCAACATTATTTAATTTTGAAAGGTCTAATTTTCTAAACTGCCACAATATACATAAATGTGCATGAATTTAGCAACAGACCTTCAAAACACATGAAGCTCATCTGTAGACCTGAAAGGTTACTCGGAGAGTAACCATGTTCTCAGCAATTTCCAAAAAACTTTCACCAAGGATACAGAACACATGAGTGACAATTCCAACTAAATTAAGCTGGTTTGTATTTAGGAAAAAACCAAAGAACAGAATGCAAAAACTATACAAAAAGAGTTCTATCTCCATTTATTACTATAAAGACAATCATATACATATATATATATATATATTTCTTTGTATATATATATTTCTTTGTATATATATAGTTCTTATATATGGAGTTCTATCTCCATTTATTACTATAAAGACAATCCTTTATATATAGTTTTTTATATATATAGTTCTTTGTATATATATATATATAGTTCTTTATATATATATATTCTATCTCCATTTATTACTATAAAGACAGTTCTTTATATATATATTACTATACAGACAGTTCAATTTTTGGCGAATCATTCTCCAAAAAGTGCAACTAAAACAAGATACAATGTGGAAAAACAATAGAATGGGAGAAAATACTTATAAAATGTATCTGATAAGAAGTAAATATCAGAAAATATGTAAGGGACCAGACTCAATATTAGGGAAAACAAATACACAGACTCAAACAGTGGAAAGGAACTAGATGTTTCTTAAAAAGCAGATGTGCCAATGCTCAGCTGGTGTGGCTAGCGCACACCTCTGATAATCAAAGAGAGCAAGTCCAAATGAACATGGACTCTCATGTTCTGTTAAAATGGCCTTTATAAGAGAGGTGAGCCAAATGAACTATTTCTGAGGATGTACAAAATAATTTGTGTACCCCATTAGCAGCGATTAAATTAGCACAACCCCTGTTTAAAAAAAAAACCATGAAATATTCTTTAAACATTTAAACATATTCCTTTCTTATGATTCAACAGTCTATGACTGACTATATCATCAACAGAAATGAAATAAGTAGCTGAAGAGCTATCTGCCCTCCCACACTCGCTACAGCGTCATTAACAGTAGCCAAGATGTGAATGCATCCAGGGGTCCACCCTGACATGAATGTGATAAACATATATATGCGATGAAACACCATCAAGCCTTTCGAAACAAGACAATTCTGTCATTTTCCAGAAACACAGATAAACCTGCAAGAGCAGATTAAATTCAATAAGCCAGGCCTAGAAGGACAAATGTGAATGACCTCACTTCCTTGCCCAGCCTAGAAAAACTCACAGAAATAAAATAGAAACACGGAATAGCAGCACACGCCTTTAATCCGGCCCGGCACTGTAACTGAGGAGGTAGAAGCAAGTGGACCTCTATGAATTTGGGGCCAGCCCGATCTTCACAGTATTCTCAAGCCAGCTAGGCCTATACAGTGAAAACTTCCCTCAAAATAAATAAAATCGTCAGAAAATAAAAACAGAATAGGATGGCAATTACCAGACTTCAGAGATGCGGCGATGGGAAATGTTGCTCCAAAGGATACAAAACAGTGCACTAAAAGAACACATCTCAAACACTATGAAGCATGGCGCAGCATGAAAAGATAGATCTTTAATATTCAAATATAAGTAAGACTTTGAATGTACACACTACCAAGGACAACATATTAAGGACAAATAGGAACATGGAAAGAAACTCAGGATCATTAGCCATCAGGGAAATATAAGTTATTGTATTAAGGATACTAAAACCTCACACCTATTTGAAGGGTTGTTTTTTTTTTTTAATTGCATGATTCAGCCTATGTGAAGAATATGGCATCACCTTACACAGATATAAAGTGGACAGTTGCTTGCTTGTTTAGAATTGGAAAGGGGGGGGAATGGGGACTGCTAAAGGTTTGAGTGTCTTTTAAAAATACATTACTTCTCTGTGTATTCCATACATACATACAATGTGCTTGTATCATAGTCACCCTTATTTCTTTCTATAACGCCACACAGATTGAGATCTCTAACCCTGTACCCTTGCCCTCTCTCTCTCTCCCTTCCCCCTCCTCCTTTCCCCTCTGTCTCTCTCTTGTCTCCCTCCCCTCCAATCTGCACTGCCCATACAGTCACATGTACAGGGCTATCCACTGGATCACACTGACCTAACAGGGGCCACACCCTGAAAGGAAATTGCCTTTTCCTCCCCTAGAAGCCCTCAAAGGTCAACAGCTCTTCACCGGGGCCAGGGCTCTGTGCAAGAGTCCGTCAACTGGTTTAAAGAAAAGTTCTTTCCAGGTCAGTTTTTGCCAACGAAGTCTCACTGGGTGTGGTAGTTTGAATGAAAATGGCCCCCGTAGATTCATAGGGAGTAGCATTATGGCCTTGTTGGAGTAAGTGTGGCCTTATTGGAGAAAGCATGTCACTGGGGGGGGGGGGGGGGGTTGCTAAAGCCAGGCCTGGCTTCTCTCTCCTCCTGCTGCCTGCTCATCTAGAGATCCCTATCTGTTGACCCCTCCTCCAGTGCCAGGTCTGTCTGCATGCTAGCTTGCTTCCTGACTTGCCGGGAACAGACTAAACCTCTGAAACTGTAAGCCAACCTGAATTAAATGCCTCCCTTTATAGGAGTCGTTGTGGCCATGGTGTCTCTTCACAGCAATAGAACTCTAAGACATGCTATATTAACCTCACCATGTAGGCTCTGTGCAGGAATAGTTGGCTATCATAAAACAAACTTAATGGTATTTTTGTAGACGTTTTATCTTTTTTATCTTGTTTTCTTTGGGTTTTTTTTTTTTTGGCAGTGTGTGTGTGTGTGTGTGTGTGTGTGTGTGTGTATGTGTGTGTTACTGATCTTTTTCTTATTTACTGTTCATTTTTGTGTTTTTATGAAGCTTTTTTTATGTGTGTTTCCTGTTTATGTTATTTTGTTTTCTATTTGTTTTGTCTTTGTGTGTGTGTGTGTTTCTTTTGTTTTGGGAGTTCTTTTTTTTTTCTTTTATTGAAAACAGGTTCTTTTTTTACGAAATAAATTGTGATCATGGCTTCCCCTCCAGTTCCTCCAAGGTTTCCCCAACTTTCCCTCCCATTGGAATCCACTCCTCTTCTGTCTCTCATTAGAAAAAGGCATCTCAATGATAATAATAACATAAGATAAAAGAAAAACAAACTAGACTAGGAGAAAACAAACCAACAGAAGAAAAGGGGTTGAAAAACCCCACAAGTTACACAAGTAGATGCAGAGACACACATGTTCATACGCACAGGGATCCCCTAAAAACACAAAACCAGAAGCCATAATGTATACAAAAAGGATAGGTTTTTAAAAAGGCGGGGAGGGAAGGAATGTCATGTCGAAATCTTATAGGACAAAAACTTCCAAAGATGCCACCAGATTTGTTTTGTATTGGCCATCGACTGCTGGACATGTGGCCTGGCCTTAAGTGTGGCTCAGCTTGATTAACACACATACGAGCTCAAAGAGATTGAGGCAGCATGTACAGGGCCTGCACAGGTCTGGGCTAGATGGGAGCCAGCACTGAGAGAAGAAGTGGAGACAAGCCCTGATCCCTGACCCA